AATAGGGCCGCCATAACACATTTAACTTTTCAACTTTGCCCTCTATACTCTCAATACTTTGTAACTTGTAACAAAGTCTATAAAATCTATCCGTAAACCAAACCAAACCTTTCGCGACGTACGGCTAAAAAAACGACATAACGATATATATAAATATAAAAAAAACATGATTCGAATATAATAAAATGGCGAACAAAGCGGATGGTGCAATAATGATGAATAGGATAAAAATAGTAAAATTAACGAAGTTACGCGTATGATATAAAACTAATTTATAATGGAATAATAAAACATTAAAATTAACAAGAATTAGGCAAATGTGAAGAAAAAAACTACTTGATCAAAAAAAAAAAAAAACTGTGAAAGAGTGTCACTGGCCGTTCTAGCTGTATGACGCACACAACTAGAGCGTTTATCCAACCGTCGGGTACAGGTCCGTACTTGGCAAGACCGAGTGAAACCCTTACCAGTGTTCCTGCACCCGCAGAGATATGACTTCTAAAAGACACTTTGTGCCTGCAATCTGCTCTAATTAACGAAGGTTGGCTAGTCCTTTCGTTACCGTGCCGCATACGATGTATAACTGGACTGGTCGCGATAGCCGTTGTAATCGTTATGCAAAGAAATCATATCCCAATCCTACTATTAGTAATAGGATCGGTCGGATAAAGCCGCGAATTGAGCACCAGTCAATGGTGACCCGGCAGAACTGAGGCCAACATTAGTACGCGTAACAATAAAAAAGAGAGAAAACAGTTAAAAAGAAAAACATTATCAATAATCAAATTATTAAAACTAATAATCATAATCAAAATTATTAAAACTAATTCATTATTGCATCATCTTAAAAAAAACACGAAAATACACGAAAATATTCAACGTTAAAATATTAAGTAAGAAAAAAAAAACTATACTAATACTACTAACCAATTACTCTATACCTATTGATTACACAACAATCCAGCTGGTCAGATATGAATAGTATGCCTATGTTTCAATAATTTGAAAAAGTTCTCCTCAGTTAAATCAGGAATAAAACAAATTCGATTCGGCACTGTCTGCTTGGCTCAACAAACTTTGACTCTCTGCACGCGTTTCGTACGCGCCAAACATCTCACCCCGTGAGTTTCTCAAAGTTCTTACACTTTTACACATAGGCACGCTAGTCTTTATGCTAATTCTCCCCCGTAAAGTTACTTAAAAATAAAACCAACGATAATAGCAATTTGTTAAAACTTGTTAAATTGCTAATCCTACACTTGACTAACAAAAGTGACAAAAACTTGACTTATTCGGATAAGTTTCAAAAACTTTTAAACTCATTAATTTATTATAAAATAATTTTTAACTTAAATTAAATTTTTCTATATAAAATAAAAAGTCAAAATTCTTATCTTATGAATCTAGTTGAAAAAAAAAGTTAACAAAATTTTTTTTTTTTTTTTTTAGCTAAACTCTCATAAGAGTTTAAGTAATTTGCCAACGATAACATAAAAAAGAAAAACAAGTTCTTTTCTAGTAAACGTTAACATATTTAGAGAATCCTAACTATTTAATCTATATAAGTAAAGAAAAACTTAATATTTTTTTACAACCCTTTAGGTCTACATAATATTCTGAACCAATAATTAAAAAAAAAAAATCACAAATAAGAAACAGACTTTTTTTTTTTTAAAAGAAAATTCATGGTAGACCTTAATTTAATTAAATTATCCTAACTATTTTATTCATAGCGCGTAAAAGTAAAAAGTAATCTTGCCTCATTCGTCTTCAAAATCGACAAATTTGGTAATTACAGGGTTTGTTAACAACCGCGAATAAAAAGAAATCTAAATAAAGAATAAATGAAAACCGCTAAACCTATTTGTGTTTATCTGTACTTATATCCGTACTTATGTTTAAAAATATTATTAAAAATGACAACAAAATGCATTATGCGCGCGAACATTTTCAAACCGTTTAACAATCACTGAGTGTGAGTATAAAATTTTGAACTTGTACACCATGTCTGGGTCGCGCACAGACCAGGTCAAAATCACTTAAAAAAGGATACTTGAAAGTTAAATTTCTCCGAAAAATGGCCATGTGTTTTGCGTGACCGCGCGTATGTGCGCTAGAGTGTACAATATTTGAGCTTACTAGAAAAAATATATTCGACTATTGGAATATTATTTTAGAAAATTAAAAATATTTTTGTGGATATATTACCGCAATTTTTATAATAGAAAGAATAAAATGAAGAAAAATAAATTGCAATTACATCTACGATTATATGAATTTATAATTTTTATTTTATTTATTTATTTTTTTATTGCTTACTATTCAAACATAATAATGTAATAATTTGTAATACAGTAAAACAAAATTGGGGAGAAAAAAAAAATAGAATTAACTTAATAGAGCAAGAATTAAAATTGAATTCGATTAGAACAAAATACAATTTTGTTATTTTATAAATTTTATACTATTGAATATTCCAAAACTATTTGCAACGCACCAAAAAAAAAACGCGAAAAATATAATAAAGTTTAACAAATCCATTAAAATACAACAACTAATAAAGTTTCACACTCACGCCTTATTTAGAATCAAATCAATGATTTATAATTTCAAAATATTGGGATACGCGCGCTTTTAAGAAAAAAAAACTACAGATAAACACATGTAGCGATACACACACAAAGATACACAAACGTAAAGAAATTGCGCGACGTTTAGAATTTGATTTTATTCTACAAACTTCTATAGAAATTACGAACACATTAAAATACAACCGAACACGTATACAGTGGGAGCTACTCGCTTGGTTTTTTATTAAATATTATTTAAATATAAAATAAAAAAAATTGTAAGTTGGGGATCGAATACGCTTTCATCATTGTGACAATTGAGGGGTTGAAGCCCCCTTCTTGGGGTATGCAATGGCTGCCAAATATATTTTAGCCTTGCAACCCCGTTACGAAGGGGTTGCTTCAACACTCCAATCGCCCGCTAAAGTACCTGTAATTACCTGTGGGGGTTAGTAGCTACTATACGAATGAAACCAAGATTACTTTTATAACTAAATCTATTAAAATAATTAATAATACATTCCGCATGTATTTGTGGAACATGACCGTACTTGCATAAGGTCATGTTCCCTAACTAATACCACTTATTCTTATATCATGGTATATATGCTTATATGGAGATATGAGGGTATGGGGGAGAATAGCTACAACTTATAATTTACATAATCTGACCTTTAAGCTGGACCTGTCTTGTTGCACAACACACACACAACTAACACTAACGTATCCCAAGGCGTTCGCCTATGGGATACGTCTTCGTTGGCTCTAACTTCTTAATTGCCAGGATCTCCGGAGCGTCTCTCTGATGGACCCCAATAACCAATAGATAGTTAGGGGTAGTGGTAGGGCTGTGTACCCTGGGGTTGACGACTATCAGGCGACAATAATTATCAATACGACGATAATTATGATTATCGTCACAATATAACCTTTTTATTCAAACTGAGTTTAAATATAAGAACGGTACAAAAAAAACACTATTCATTTATTGCATTTTTTTAGTACAATTTTTGTTAGTTCAATATAATTTGTCAAACATTATAAATTTTATGTATACATGCAGTTTTTGTAAATGATTTTTTATCAAAGTTCAAATTTATGAACTTAATTAGTTATCTAATTAACATTTGTTTATTAACATTCTGAGCCTTGTTATAATGTTATGCAATTCTATTAATTATTAATCTAATAAATTTAATAAGCTCAAATGCAAAAATTATTCTTATATTTTCCAAAAGCATTTTTCATATTCAGTTTCTTCTCACGAATTGTAAAGCTTTGTAACGAATTTTATTTTGTTCATATATGCTACCTAGTTTGTATAATATTAAAAACGTATCCTTAACTGTTAAGTGAATATTGAAGATATTAAAGTTTCAAAAGCTCGTAAAAAAGCTCTGCAGTAACTCTAAACTAAATCAAAAACTACATTCCCAGTATTTTTCATTTCCAGTTCCTTTTCGAAAAACAAAAAGCTCTTTGTAACAAATTTCTAATTTAGAATAGCATTTCAAATATAATTAGAAATAAATGTTTTAACCAATTATTTTTTGTGTGAGAACCTTACTCGTTTGGAAGAATCTTAAAATAATTTGTATGACTTTCTTCAGCAAATAAGATTTTACATATACAGAAACACATACGAAGAAAATGTTTAAGAAATTTATTTAAAATTATATTAAAAGTCGACGATTTCGGGAACACGGATGAAGCGATTTGAATAATTCAAAAAACATTCGATTCGTCTTGATGAGGAGACATGCTGATCAGTTTTTGGCGAAGGCAGGTCTAGCCGTTCCGACGATATGGGGCATAAAGTGCCAAAAACGGTAACTAAGTTTCTAAGAGAATGGAGCGTCCGATTTGAGTAATTCAAAAAACATTTTACTTGTATTAACAATTTTCATGAAAGCAGGTCTAGCGGTTTCGGAAATCTAGTAAAAAAAGTAAAAAAAATGCCATTTGGCGGTCAAAAATGATCATTAGACATTGCACATCAAATTATTAAATATTTTGTAGATAATTATAAATTTTGTTCACATTCCTATGGATTCCGTACCAATGTTTATCCGCGCTTTGATATTTTGTCTCTATGCAGTTAAAGCAGTACGATTGCTTTGAAAAAAAGTTCAGAATTTCCAAAATATTTCAAAATAAATTTTTCTTCAAAGTCTTTTTTTTCAAATAAAGGTAAATTTTTGTCAAATTTATAGTTTTTGAAAAATCTAATTTTTGTTCAGAGTAAATTTTTTTCAAAAAATGTTAATCTTTTAAATAAAGTTATTTTTGGTACGGAAAGTTCCTGCAATTTACCTTAAGGCACGATGCCATGCGCCCCACTAGTTTCTAATTAATAATATTTAAAAATACATTTTACTATAACTAAAAATTAATTGTATGATTAAATATTTTAACAAATCTTGTACGAACCTTAGCACCGATTTGGTTTCCGCACTGTCCGGCTTGTAAATGCACTATTTCCCTCATGTTTCCACCGACTGATTTGCTCAAAATTAAAAAAAAATCTTGACGAGTTTTTCAACAGAATGCACGTCAATATATTATTAAGATAATATCGTTAAAATAAAAAAAAATACAAATGATTGATTTGAAAATAAAACGTAAAAATCAGCCGAACTCCGCGCTCTAGAGCCAACAGCTAGAGACTGAATGCAAAGAAGGAATACGATGCGCTTGGCTCGCGCAGTTAACTATCTTTAAACGCACTGGAAGTGAGGAACCGTCTATCTCTGACAAACCTAGAGATACGCGTGTACCACTGTTTCTCAATATTTGTGATGTTTTGAATTTGATTTTTTTTTTAACTTCCCGTAGGGTAAGTTATAGGAGATCGCTAAAAAAAATCGAAAATGAAATTTTTTGCTTATCTTTACGTTTTAAAGATTTCTGAACATTTTGGCATACCTTAATTTTTCGCCCACGATTTCGGGTGCACGATTCACCCAATTGAATGATCCAACTAGTGGGGCGCATGGCATCGTGCTTTAAGGCAAATTGCTGGAACTTCCCGTACCAAAAATTATTTTTTTTAAAGATTTACATTTTTGAAAAAAATTTACTCTGAAAAAATTTGATTTTTGAGAATCTATAAATTTTTGACAAAAACTTCATTTTTTTTTTTGAAAAAAATGACATTTTGAAGAAAATTTATTCTGAAATATTCTGGAAATTCTGAACTTTTTTCAAAGCAATCGTACAGCTTTAACTGCATAAACACGAAATATCGAAGCGCGTAAGCGCCGCGTCGCCGTCTAACGGATAAACACTGTTGCGGAACGCATGAGAATGTAAACAAAATTTATACCTATTATTAAAACCTCTATAAAGTAACTGATAATTTGATGTACATATGTCTAATGAACATTTTTTACCGTCAAATGGCATTTTTTTTACTTTTTTTTACTAGATCTCCGAAACCGCTAGACTTACCTTCATGAAAATTTGATCAATTCTTCATATTGTTATAAGTAAAATGTTTTTTGAATTATTCAAATCGGACGCTCCATTCTCTTAAAAACTGAGTTACCCTTTTTGGCACTTTTTACCCCATATCTTTGAAACGGTTAGACCCGCCTTTGCCAAAAACTAATCAGCACATCTCCTTATCAATACGAATCGAATGTTTTTTGTATTATTCAAATCGCATCATCCGTGTTTCCGAAATCACACACACACACATACATCCATTTTTTCTAAGGTATGCCAAAATGTTCAGAAGGTTTTGAAACGTAAAGATACATAAAAATTTTCATTTTCGATTTTTTTGCGATTACTATAACTTGCTCTACGGGAAGTTAAAAAACGCTCGATTCCTATTGATGGGAAGACATGCTAATTAGTTTTTGGCGAAGACAGGTCCAGTCATTTCGAAGATACTGGGCAAAACGTGCCAAAAACGGTAATACAATTTTTGAGAGAACGGAGCGCCCGATTAGAATGATTAAAAAAACCATCATTTCGTAATGATGGGGAGAAGTGCTCATTAGTTAAAAACCTTCTAACGTGCCCATAAATATTATATATATATATATATATATATATATATATATATAGTATTTCAGTCAAATTTTTTAGTCATATTCTAGTAAATATTTTTATAAATAATTCATTATCTAATCTATCTAACATTTACTATTATCATAAACACAAAAATATCAATTGAAAGAAGAGAAGGACGAAAATCCACATGCATAAATAAAAGACTACCAATCTTTTCCTATAAACTAAGTGCAAGTGGCGTTTTGCCTTACGTGGGTAATCTGGTGTGGAATTTAAAAAAAATCAATCTTTATTCAACAATGAATACGTATATGTACAAGATTTTTGCGAAATTTAATTATTTTTGCAGGTGTTTCACCACCACAATCCTCATTTGTTTGTTGTATCCTTGTATAAAACTGTCTTTTTTGATACGATACTTGCGATTTTTCAATTTTTAGTGTCTTTATAGACTTGTATTAAGTATGAAGTAGACTCATCCACAAATTCAAATTCTTTACCATTAAAAAAAACGAAAATATCAAAAATTTAAAAAACACTTTTCATAGTTTAGTAGTTTCGTTTTATAGTTTGTATACAGAAAAACAAGGCAATTATTAATGAATATTTTAATGAAACCTATAAATTTTACTTCAAAACCTTCACCATTTGTATTGCTGCATTACTAGTCGTGTTCAAAAAATACTTTAAAAATATCATATTTTTTATATTTTTAAACTAATTAAAATTCTTTGCAAGTAATCAATACAACTTTAAAACATCACAGTAGTAAATTTAATAAATTTATCATAAACTATATTGCTTAACATATTATTCATGTATTGTGCATTATCGATATTTTGCTTCTCGACTTCAATGAAACATTGAAATTCACAATTTACCAATACTTTTAGACTCATTTAATTTAGGTAAAAAATGTAGTCGAAATAACAATCTAAAAACAGTTTTATTTAAGCATTCATATCCATATTGAATCATTCACAATAGTGCAAATTTGAATTTAAAATGTACTAATCCTTCCATTGTATTTTCACTCTAATTTTTGAGTCTATTAGTTTAAAATACTCTATTACAAAATATAATTCAAATTAAATTAAATTAGGCACTGTCTAATGTTCTATAAGTACTTCATAGCATTCACATGCATTAGATTAAACTAAAGCACTACATTTCAAAACTCTTTGTAATAAACTATATTATACATCAAATTCATATTTCATATTTGAAAAATACAAAATAATGAATATTATAATAGTCATACACGTTGACTGTTGAATTTTAAATATATTAGGAATATTAAATTCTCAAATTGGTTAATAAAATGAGCAAAACGAAAATATTTAATAAAATATTACATGAAATTTCCAAAGAAATAATTTTTAATCAACTACGTAATATGTAATTAAACCAGATTTCAATTCAATCTCTTTATCATATAAGATTACCACAATAAACAATTGTCAGAAATGTAATACTTAACCGATTTAACCATAATTTAACCATAAATAAGTGCATGGATTTAGCAGGCATAAATCAAACAAAAACAACTCGTTAGTAACTATTCATACATGCATTTACATATTTATATTATAATTTTTGAGAATCTATCTACATTCAACGTGTGCTAGTACTCGCGACTGAATTGGCTCGAACAGAATTATTTCTGTATGCAGTTCTCTATGCACGCGCTTTTATTTTAACAAAAAATAAACGAAATAAAATAAGTCTATACATTTATAAATAAAGAAAGATAACGCAAAACCAAGTCAGTAACGAGAGCATTGCGTCTGCTGCTAAGTCATTATTGCTATTTTCGTGTAGAACTCAAGTGGCTACAAATTGCAGAACCATACACAACTTTACACTTTGTCTTAATACACTTGCTTAAAACCCAAACATTGCCTCATCTCCATCTGATGAATTTTATTACTACCCTTTCTATGATACTAATGTTTTTATTTATGCTGCAATAACGGGTAAAAGCTACATTCACTGACAAATATATTGTCACTTATATACTTCCAAGTGAAAACCGATACCACAGCCACAAAGTAAAAAGATCATTTTAGTTGTTTGTAAATTATCAATAAATGTATTTAAAATTCTTCCGCTTACTAATATCGTTGATCAAATGAGCTTTTCTAACTCATAGTTTATTTCCAAGTAATATTAATGGTATTAGTTATTTTCTAACTGCTTGCCCTAAGTTTTATTAATTGCTTCAATTAAATTTAAAATTAAAATAAAAAACATTTATGATATATATATATATATATATATATATATATGCGATATAAATATATATGGTAAAAATTTGGATATGTGATGGATAAATTTTGATATAAAAAATTGTATATTTGAATATATACATTCAGCAATTAAACCAGGAAATTTTTCCAATTTTTTATAAACACAAATTGTGTAGAAAATCATAACTAATGAATAATTAATTTAATAATTTAATTAAATTAATAAAATGACAGAATTAAAGAGGGCATATTGCCCAATTTGAAAACATGTTATAAAAAAGACCATTGATATTGCTTGGATGCAGATCGTCTTTCAATTTCATTAGGGAGTTGTTTTAATGGTGTATATTTTTTTCTATATTTGCCTATATCGCATCAATTGGAAATCTATCTGAATCGCTAGCGAATACAAAATTTATTTGCTTAACGATCCTGGCTCGTGATGAACAAAAATAATTGTCAAACCAGGTTCGAGCATAATAATGTGATTCTATTTTGAATTTTGAGGATTTCAATTATTCTCAAATTCTTTAGAAGTAATTCTTTAGAAAGATTCTATAATGCTAATACGATCAATGCTTCTTATATGCAATATTTTGTAAGTAAATGAAGCTGATGCATTAATTTTAATTTAATGATTTTGGAAACAAAGTACTTTTTACAATTGAATATTATGATCACAATGAAATGTATTCAACATATTAAAAAAAATTTCGGTATTATAATTATCATTCATACATTTTAACATTTCTCTTTCAATTATAAAAGCCTCTGTAGTTTTATACAATCCCCCTGATGACAAGAAAATTCTGTGCTGATTCTGATTTTTTACTTGTTTAAGACATAATATTAAAATGTTACATATAATTGCTGACGGCTGCTACGATTTAAAGTTTCCTAGGCCAAATGCTTTGAGGCTAGGTCGTCATGTGAACACTGAAATAATTTTATTTCTCATAACAAGAATTACTGTAATAATTAGTCAAAGATACGTGCAATATTTAATTTCAGATAAAGACATACAAAGAGTAATACAAACTTAGTATTACATTTTATATTTCAGCTCTGCTATAAAATAGAAGCTTGACAATAATCAATTGAATTATAAAAAATAAGTCAACTCTGGAATGAGAATCCCGTATTATCCTACTAGCTTGCTTGCTGCAGTAGACTTCTTAGCTTTATTAACTATCGGTAAGATAACAAAACAAGCATTTCTTATTTCGTAAGAT